AAGTGTTCAGTGGAAAATATCATGAGGCCATTTCTTACCTTAGTTCTCTGGTTGGAACCAGGATGGAAATAAGTATAAAACAGAATTGAAAGAAAGTAGTAGTAGTAGTAGTAATAATAATAATAATAATAATAATAATAATAATAACAGTGTACCACATTCATAGATAAGGAAGAGTCTAAAAATATACAGAGTATGCGTCACAACGGGTAAGTTCATAACGAAGAGTATGACAAACTGGAAAACTACACTAAATCTGAACCATACAAACGGGTCATTAACATCGGGACCAATGCTCATCAAAAGTGAGATCTTCCAAGGAGATTCATTGTCACCACATCTCTTCTGCATTGCATTAGCACCACTCAGCTGCTTACTGAACAGTAGCTACGGATACAAGTCACAGAATGGCAAATTGAATCACCTATTTTATATTGATGATCTTAAAACGTTTGCAAACGATGGCAATCAGCAGAAAAAAACCTACTCACAATTGTCAAAACCTTCAGTGAAGACATTAGTGTTGAAACTTGACTAATGCATGGAATAATAATAAAACACAAAATGTACTTAGAACAAAATGTATTGAAACAAGAAAGTGTACACAATATTTACATATAGTCTTTTGTATATTCCTGGTAAGACCGTTCCTGGAGAATGTGTTGACTGAGTCGCAGTCGGGCAGAGTCTCTGGTTGAATCTCTTGATTCCTCCCTCTCTTCCCGGTACCAACCATATTTATATGGTCGGTACTCCACTATGTAAATTAGGTGGATCCTACCACAACAATTAGGATGGAATTAGGAATCGAAAAATGGACCAAAGCCAACTCTAGGAACTTGACCAAGATGGTGCATGCAAATACTTAGGAATTAATGAAGGAGACAGAATACAACATTCAATTATGAAGAAAAACATCCGAAAAGAATATTATCGGAGAGAGGGCTTGATACTAGAAAGTGAACTTAATGGGGCCAATAAAATGAAGGCTATCAACACCTTAGGTACAACCGTAGTAACATACAGCTTCAACATTATTAAATGGAAGTTGAATGGCATTAAAAGATTTGACGCTGTGTCTAGAAAAATGCTTACTGAAATGAGTGATAGAAAGAATTTTGGTAGCTGTTCTCAGTTATTTATTAGCCGTATTGTAAATCACCTGGATGATAAATAACATTTTTTGGAGACTGTATTTAAAAAAATAATACTCACCCCCAATGAGGATGCACCACCCGAAATCAGATGTTGATAGAATATACGTACGAAGAGCTTTAGGAGGCCGAAGCCTAATCCAACTTGAATTAACTTTAAAACTATAACAATCGATTTGGAACCATACCTCACAAAAATCAATGAACTTCTCCTACAAATAGTAAAACCCCTAATCTATTCCATCAACAACAAAGCTGCTCTCTTTAAGAAACAGCTTCACATAACTGAATCCCTACCAACAAAAATCAAAGCGAATACCATCTCCGCCAAGATATTAAAACAGAAATCAAAAGAATTTGGCCAAATGAAATTACAAAACACCGGGAGGACAAGGCGTTGAATGGCAAATACCTAAAAAAAACGATAGAAGCAGATATGGTTCAAAAAAAAAAAAAAAACGTATCAGTGGATGAGGAGCATAGGGTTGAAAGCTAAAACAGAAGGACTAAATTTTCACAGCTCATGAGAAACCTCTCTCAACCAGATCCTATCACAGTAACATAATTAAGGATGGAACTAACACGAAATGCAGGATCTGTGGAAGATATGAAAAATCTTTCGACCTATTATCTCAGGATGTACTGAACTGGCAAAAAATGAATATACCCACAGCCATAACAAGGTGATGACATATGTGCACTAAAAGATATGCAAGAAGCACAAAATCGAGATAACTGAGAGATGATATGAGCAGCAACCAGACAGAGTTAACCAAAATAACGATATAGCTATCCTCTAGGACATGCCAATTCATATTGACGGGGAAATAAAAGCTAACAGACTTGATATTATCATAAAAGACAAGAAATTCAGGATGTGTATGCTTAGTGACACAGCCGTATCATCTGAGAGAAACAGCCCCATGAAAAATATCGAGAAATTGTCCAAATACAAGGAGCTCGAGATAAACAGGAAAAGGATAATGATGATTGAGACTGTACCAACAGTAATCGGAGCACCAGGCCTCGTGAGAAATGGAATGGAACATTTTACTAAATAAAGTAGCATCAAGACTGTATTTTAAAAATTATACTCACCCCAAATGAGGATGCACCACCCGAAATCAGATGTTGATAGGATATACGTACGAAGAGCTTTCATCATCAACATCTTGCGGCTTCAGCCGAGATTGAACTCACTAATACTTTGATTGGTGTAGTTCATAATCTTGTCAAATAGCTGAATTCTTGATGCTTCGCTAGGGCTATCAAGGGTGTTTTTTATCGTGACACCAACACTAAATGGATTGCCAACCAAGGCTCAGAGAGACTCCATTCACCCTCCTCTAAGAGCTGGTTTGAATTCAGAGTTTTTCTTCTCTTAGACCAGTTGCCATCCAAGGCTATAGAACCCAGTCTGTCCTGCTATTTTACCTATAGCTGGAGGGAGAAGAAAGAGGATTCACACCTATCCCAAGGGTGTTAGCACATAAGTGAATGTAATGGATTCGACTGGAATTCGAACTCGGCTCTCCGATTCCTCAATCCAAGCCGCTATCCATTACCCCACCGTGCCTCCTCTCGAAGAGCTTTAGGAGGCCGCCGTCTAATCCAAATTGAATTAACTTTAAAAGTACAACAATCGGATTGGAAGCATACCTCCCAAAAACCAATGACCCTTTCCTACAAATAATAAAACACCATTCCATCATCAAGAAGCTTCACTCTTCAATAAACAGCTTCAAATAACTGAAAACTTATTAACAAAAAACGAAGCGAAAGAGTAAAAGAGAAAATTGGCCAAATGAAATTACTAAAGAAAAACTGAGAGAAGAAAGCGTTGCATGGCAAAATATTAAACAAAGAACAGAAGAAACAGATGTTGACCAGATTGTATCAGAGAAAATCTTTGAAAAACTATCAAAATAGAAGAATCTTGAAGTGTAAATCTCAAAAACATAGTCCATGAGGACATCACTATATGTAGTTGCAATTGGTTCCTGCGGATTGATTGGAAAAAGTTCCGATAAATTCATTGAAAGGATCTCTGGTAGTCCAAAAAATTGTGATCACAGGTACAGCTCACATATTTCGAAGAGATATATCTATGTAAAATCATCTTTTTTTTCCTTTACGATCAGTCGAAAACATTATGAAGCCATTTCTGACTTTATGTCTCGGTGGGGGGGAGGGACTGTGTGTACAACAGAAATCAAAGGAAATAATAATAATAATAATAATAATAATAATAATAACATCTTGTATCAGGTTGCACGACATTGGCACCCACTGAATATAAAACCCGGCATGACAGAGTAGGCCAATATCTGCACTGGAAAATCTGCAACTTCTACGGGAAGAAAAACTGAAAGAAAATGGTATGAACACCACCCAGACCCGGTTACGGAGATAGAACCTGTTACAATTCTATGGGCCTACACAATACACACTGACAGAACAATCAAGGCCAACAGCCCAGATATTGTTATTAAAGACCCCCCCCCAGCCAAAAAAAAAGTGCATTCTTATTGATATGTCAGTCCCTGCTGACTGCAATGTATCTTTGAAGATATTCAAAAAGTTGTCAAAATACAAGGACCTTGAAATAGAAATCTCGAAAATGTGGCATATGAGAACATCAACAATCCCTGTTGTAGTTGGAGCCCTAGGACTGGTTGGAAAAGATTGCAGTAGACTAATTGATAGAATTCCTGGAAGTCCATGCCTCAAGGAGATACAAAAAATTGTTCTGACAAGTACAGTCCACACTTTACGAAGAGCTTTATCTATGTAATTGTTTTTTTTTTTTTTTTGTCAGTGGAAAGTATCATGGTGCCATTTCTAACCTTAGGTCCCTGGGCGGGACCCGGAAAGAAATGTGTAAACGTCAGAAATCAAAAAAAATAATACTACTAATAAAAGTAAAATCGTTACCATTTAATTGACAACACTACTAAAAGCCCTATAACTAATAAAAAGAATAAGGGTGGAATGAGGGTACTTGGTGGCACTTGTTCATCCGCCCGTTACACCCGGTACTAAAACTCGGGGAGTACAAATAATACAATAATATATATATATATATATATATATATATAATATATTAATCGGTGCCCTTACATGGCGGCTGAATCCGGGCGAGTTCTTTACTGATGGAGGAAAGAGTTGAGACAACAGAAATCTGGTTCTACAGTAGGATGCTGAGAACAAATCGGGCGTAAAAAATGAAAGGGGTATAAAGGAAAAAGGAATCTAGAAGAGACGCTTATACTTCGCGCCGGAAAGAAGCAGCAGGAATTTCAAGGGCACGTAAATGAGGAAAGAGGGCTTGGAAAATTAGACGCACGCGTACAAGAGGGCCACAAGAAAGAATCATAAAACCCACCCAACGAGCTTGTGTAAATGGCTAACAGAACAGTCAGGGCTTACTAAGAGATACCTAGGATAGGAAATTGTGGTGATCTACGATCGCTCACGTCCTGGAGGTACACGGTATCTAGTAACAAAAAAAAATGTTAAGTGAATGCGGATGGAAGAGGCTTGACGTTACATTCTCTCCAGTGAAAGTCACCAGTTACTAAAAGTAAGAATATTCAATGTATACAAAACTGATAATAATAATAATAATAATAATAATAATAATAATAATAATAATAACAACAACAATAACAATAATAATAATGGTGGTGATGCAGTAGCAATTGTTTAGTGGAAATCAAAGAAGGAAGATGGAGGTTGAATATATGCTGCTATGTGTGTTAATATGAAACCTACATCATTTGACGTAAATAAGTGAGTAAACGGACGCAAAAAGCGCTAAACAGATTTAAGCACTGCCCACTGGAGATGGAGGTGTGGCCGTCGACTTTGGTGTATGATGGGCAGACAAACCTGGAGTTGGAAAATGCGTCGGCGGTATACAAGTTATTCGCTTTGTGTTCTTTGTGCACACACACACACACACGAACACACACAGAGGCACATACACGCACATATCTATCTATCTATCTATCTATCTATCTATCTATCTATCTATCTATCTATATGTATGTATAAGCTGTTTGATCCCGTGTGTTTTATACATACCAAAGAGCATATATATATATATAAATATAAATATATATATATATATATATATATATATATATATATATATGCTTTTTCTTTAGTAGGATGGGGTGGGGTGGTTTGGGGAGAGAACAAGATGCGTGAGTAAAGAGAAAAATAGTGTGTGGAATCAAGTGCGCGAAGGGGAATAGTGAGAGTAAAAACAATGAAAATCTGTCTTCGAAAAATGAGTGGTCAGTTTTTGTTTTTGTTTTTCTGGGGGAGAGAGCCAGGATTTGAAGCAAAAAAGTATTTCAGAAGAATCAACATTTCACACACACACACACACACACACATATATATATATATATATATATATATATATATATATATAGATAGATAGATAGATAGATAGATAGATAGATAGATACAGCTTTGTGTGTGCCTTTCTATGTTTTCGGTGTGTCGATATAATCAGTTGCGTAATATAAGTCGATTATCCTTTTGAGTTTTATCGGGATTGTTTTAACACTTCCGGCTTTATCTATTTTTTCTTTTCTCTTTTCTATTCTCTCTCTCTCTCTCTCTCTCTCTCTCTCTCTCTCTCTTTCTCTCTCAACTTTTTCTCATCTTTTTTCTCTCTACCCACTCTCTCTTTTTAGTTACTTCTTTTTAAAACAACTCCGTACCGTCTCTATTCCAATCAGCCTCTTTTGATTCGCCTTCGTCTCCGTTTGCTTTCCTTTTTCCTTTCTTTCTCCTGCCACCCCCACATTTCAAAACTGCACCATCCTCCTTCCTTCCTTCCTTCCTTCATTCCTTCCTTCCTTCCTTCTCTCTCGATATCTGCATTGATTCTCTCTCTCTCTCTCTCTCTTTGCTATTATCCTCATCTATACACAGCCTTCGACTTCCATTTTTAATGTTTATTTCTTTTATTTTTCCTTCTATTTTGTTCGGGCAGCATCAAACCTTCAATTACCGATAACGTCTTTGACACCGTCGTCAGAGAGGGCATTTAATGTAAGAAGCTGCAAACGTGAAACGTCATTTTCGCTTAATTTTCATTTTATTTTATTCCCATTAATTCCCGCCAAAAAAAAAAATATGACAATCAGTTTAGCCTCATACATAAATCTTTTATAAAGTTACGATCCTCTGGATGGTAGCATCACTCCAACTTTAAAGTCTTCGAGAATATATCATCAAAGACTTGGAGAATCTTTCTCCTGTTTTTTTTTTTGGCCTTGAGAAAAAAAAAAGTTGACTTTGTCGTGGCAGGGATCCTTCTTAGCCGAATTCTTTGTCGCAGTTTTGAGTGGCCTTGGAAAGGGTGAACCTTGCTGTAGAAAAAACAAAAAAAATCAAACTAAAAAAAAAAATATAAAAAGGCCACGCAGGTTGTAAAAAGTTCTGTTGAACTTACAAGAAAGGAACTGTCTAATTGAGACAATTTAATTTCTTTTTCCTGACGCTGTCATAACGAAACATAGTTTACATCCTAAATTAAAATAGGGTTCAATTTTAAATATACTGACGCACACCCACACACACATTCAAGCACGCATAAACTCAACAAATACACAGATACAAAAACGAGCTAAAAAACTTACTCATACAATCAAATACATATATATAAGTAACAGTAAATATTCATCAGAACACACACAAAAATATTATATATAATACGGTTTCGTGTTGTTTATTATCAATCTATAAAACTGTTTATATTAACAAAATTGTGTGTATAGAAATTAAAAAAAAAAAAACAAACAAAAAAAAAACGAAGTATCTACGAAATTTTTTTTTTACGAATCATTAAAACTGATTCCGACATCAATTTGCGAAACCGCATCTTTAAATTTTTTTTTTTTTCCTCAAGTTTAACGAAGAATTCCTTCGTCGGAGAAAGGGAAAAGAAAAAACATAAAGCCGAATGACCCCGGGTCAAAGGTGAAAGTTTCATTTCGAGGATTATGAAACAGCCTTTTCGCACAGTGACAATACGTTTGGATACAAGATTTTACGGCACACGCAAGAATATCACAGATTTTAGTTCAAAAGTGAGTAATGATTTTTTTTTTTTAAATAACTTTCAAGTTCATCTAAAATTGCTTATGTATGAAAGGCGTTCTTATTGATGTAAACATTGCTGAGTTCGATTCAGGAATTCTTATCATGGAAGCCACAAAGGCATGAAACTAAACAGTCTTTGAAAGGATGCGATTTGTTGGTAGATTGTTTTTGTTTTGAGGACCATTTACAACACAAAAGTACGATAAGTTTTTGTTTTTTCCTCTTGTCTTTGTTCTTTTCCTTTTGTTATTTCTCTTTTCTTCTTCTTCTTTTTCTTCCTCTTCTTTTCCTTCTTTTTCTTCCTCTTCTTTTCCTTCCTTTTCCTCTTCTTCTTCGTCTACTTTTTCTTCTTCTTTTTCTTTACCTTCTTTTTCCTCTTCTTCTTCCTCTTATTTTCCTTCTTTTTTCTTCTTCTTCTTTTCCTTCTTTTTCCTCTTCTTCTTCTTCTTTTGCTTCTTTTTCCTCTTCTTCTTCTTCTTTTTCTTCCTCTTCTTTTCCTTCATTTTCCTCTTCTTTTCCTTCTTTTCCTCTTCTTCTTCTACTTCTCCTTTTTCTTCCTCTTCTTTTCCTTCATTTTCCTATTCTTTTCCTTCTTTTTCCTCTTCTTCTATTCTTCCTCTTCTTTTCCTTCTTTTTCTTCTTCTTCTTTTTCTTCTTCTTCTTTACCTTCTTCCTCTTCTTTTCCTTTTTCCTCTTCTTCTTCTTCTTCTTCTTCTAATACTACTACTACTACTCCCCCTCCTTCTTCATTTTTCTTCCCGTTTCTCAATTTTCACCCCCCCTCTTCTTTGTTATCATCTTTTTCTTTTCTCTCTTTCATTCATCGTTGTCTCCTTTCCTAACATCTATATACTGTCCACTCGCCTACTTTCATTATCAATAACATCTTGCATGTTTTCTTTTCTTTTATTTCTTCATTGACTTCCTTGGTCGGGGGGGGGGAAAGATTAAAAAGGATAGTCTCTCTTTCCTCTTCCTCCTTCTCTGATATCGCTTTTTCATCTCGCCTAACGTTCTTCCTCTTTCTTCTTCTTCTTCTTCTTCTTCTTCATCTTCTTCTTCTTCTTTTTCATCTTGTCTCGACGTACCGTGGCAAATAAACGAAACACAAAAATGACTGCTACAAGTTCACGAAAAGGTAGAAGTATCACGCCCTAAGAAAAAAAAAAACAAAAAAAAAAAAGACAAAAAACAGAAGCTTTTTCTGCCTCCCCGTTTGACTATGAGTCTGTCTGTCTGTATGTCTCTCTCTCTCTCTGTGTATGCGTGTGCGCGCACGAGCGTGTTTGTGTGTGTGTGTGTTTTGTTTTTTTCTGAATGATGTGTTTGTGTGTGCGTTTCTGTGTGTTTGTTTGTGTATTTTCATGTTTGTGTGCGTTTGTATACATGTGTTTGTGTTTGTGTGTTTTTTTTCCTGTGTGGCGTATTTGTGTGTGTTTGTGCGTGCGTGTGCTTATGTGTTCGTGTGTACTTTCGATGTTTGCGTATGTGTGCGTGTCTTTGCGTATGTGTGCGTGTCTTTGCGTATGTGTGCGTGTGTTTGGTTTTTCGTTTGAGAAGAAGCGTTTCACCTCTTTCCCTTTCTTTTCATTAGATAACACTCTTTCTCTCTTCATTTATTATTATTATGATTATTATTATTATTATTATGATTATTATTATTATTATTATTATTATTTATATCGATTTTTATGTTCTCACTAGAGGAAACCCTAGAAGTAATGGAACATGTAGAAAGACATGGAAACATCCAATAGACGTCATTATTTAAAAATAAAAAGATATTACTTGAATACAGTGAAAAGTCCTGAAATGTTTATGAGACATATTGTCACTTGTCTCCAATTTAACTCCAACTGGTGAGAACACCCAATAAATAATAATAATAATAATAATAATAATAATAATAAACACCGTATGCATCATTAGTTGCGTAGTGCAGTGTGAAAAGCTGAAACCAAAGGTTATTATTCTTGCTACACAGGACCAATGAGTTCTAACTAGAAATTTTCAAGCCCACACAGTGAAAAACTGTGTTAACCCGAATTGTGGATTCTGTGATAAATATACAGAAACAATTGACCATCTTGTATCGGGTTGCACAGTGTGAGCACACACCGAATATAAAACTTAGCAAGAGTGGGCCAATATCTGCACTGGAAGATATGCAAATTTTGCGGAATGGAAACTGCAAGAAATTGGTAAGAAAACCACCCAGACCCGCTTACAAAGACAGAACCAGTAACAACTTTATGGGACATTGCAATACACTCAGACAGAACAACATAGATTGTGATCAAAAACCACACACAAAAAAAAAAAACTAATTTGTTTTCTTATTGATACGGCAGTTACGGTAGATTTTGATAGATCTTTGGTGATCTTCAATAAAATAATAATAATAATAATAATAATAATAATAATGCCTCCTTATTGATATGGCAGTCCCTGCTGACTGCAATGTATCTTTAAAGATATTCAAAAAGTTGTCAAAATACAAGGACCTTGAAATAGAAATCTCGAAAATGTGGCATATGGGAACATCAACAATCCCTGTTGTAGTTGGAGCCCTAGGACTGGTTGGAAAAGATTCCAGTAGACAAATTGAAGAGATTCCTGGAAGTCCATGCCTCAAGGAGATAGAAAAAATTGTTCTGACAAATACAGCCCACACCTTACGAAGGGCTTTATCTATGTATTTTTTTTTTTTTTTGTCAGTGGAA